CAGAGAGCAGAATAAATCCAAAAACGTGATCTTGAATTGTGGTCGGTGCGGAGGCGCAGAGTAATAACCAAGAGGACTGAAGCAGACAAAATCCAAAAGGGAGCAGGCAGGTCGGGTAGTCAGAAAACAGGCTTGGGTTCAGAACAAGGCAGGAAGCACAAACAAGAAGTGCTGGATTTCAACTGCTCAGAGAGGTTTGTGAATCTGGCAATGAATGAGGGTGAGCAGGGAGCTTAAATAGGGAGGTGCACAGGTGCAATGAATGAAGATGATTGCAGAGGCAGGGAGAGGAGGCATGGTGCAGGCACATGAACTGAGTGATTGACAGGACAGAAAACACTTGGCAGGAGAAAACATGAAACTATACAGGCTGAGGTAAAAAAAAGGGGCAAAAACATGACACTATCAGAGACTGAGACCTCACAGTCCAAGAAAGCCAACCTGCCATTTTTTACATCTTCTCGTGTGAACTTGATGTATTTATCCACAGAGTTGATGTGGTCAGTAAAATGTTGGACTTCCTGAGATTTAATTTTAACCCAGGTGTCGTCAACATACCTGAACCAATGACTTGGTGGTGTCCCTGAAAAGGACATCAAGGCTCTCTTTTCTACCTCCTCCATGTACAGGTTGGCAACAATAGGAAAAACTGGAGACCCCACAGCACACCCATGTTTCTGCCTATAATATTGCTCCCCATATGTGAAGTAGGTTGTGAAAAGAAATCGTCCATCATTAAACAGGGGTGGAGGCCTCCGGGTTCAACTGTCCCCCTCTTACAATGCTGTGATTGCAAGTATCACTCAACCCCCTGTGAACAGTCCTTCTTGAGCATGTGATCAGCTGGTTTTGGTTGTCAGCAGCAAACTGGTTGATCCACTCTGAGAAGGTGCTATTTAAGAGACTGAGCTGAATACAGCACCTCAGACTGAGGAAGTCTCTCGGATGAGAGACGAAACGTTTCTACATTTTTTTTTTTTTGCTTTGTTTTGTTTTTTTGTTTTCTTGTTTTTTGAATGTCCAGAGGACCAGATTGAACTTTTTTGGATTTTTCTACCTGGATTATTGAGCATGTATCAGGTTATTTTTTTTTTGTTGTCATTAATTTCAGCTTTCTTCTCATTTTAATTTCATTTGAGCTAATTCTTAGATTTATTTTTTTATTTTTTTGGTCATCTTTTCAGCCTCTCTCTGCCTGTTTCAGCTTATTCAGCTTGTTTTGGCTAAATTTCTGCTCTGTTAATCTTTTTCTACACATTTCTGCTGGTTTTATTAGTTGCTTTCTGCTTTTATTTTTCTGCTTTTAGCAAAGTCAGCTGTTTAAATTTAGCTTACATTAATAGATATGAAACTTTTTCAGCTGATTTCAGCTTTCTGAAAAACTCACTCAGCAATAAGCATTCACACTGCATTTTGGCAGGACATGAGATTTCTCTAGTTGTTTTTGCAGCACCACAAGCCACCTCATGTAAAACTAGGTTACCTCATATAGAAATACAAAATAAGCCAAGCAGCTGGCCCCAGGAGAGCTCTGAGGGTCCTCTTTCTGGGCAGAATATGACCCCCTCTCTGTTAGACAATGCAGCGTTTATTATGTTTCAGTATAGAGCTTTAGCTGGCTACAACTCTACGTTTCATAGGTGCCTTTTATTTAACCAAGCACACACACTTGGTCAACTCTTATTTTACTTCGATGTTCATGTCTCCTCTCTCATGGGTCAATATGCAGGAATTTTTTAACCGTTTCACGTTTCTTTCATTAAAAAGTAAACTATATACTTGGGCAAATTTACCAGAACTGTGGTCTGGTGGGCGCTGAAGTGAAATTTATTTTGAACAAATGACAAAATACATAAAATTATTTATCGGTTCCTTTTTGAAAAAGAGTATTAGGAGGCAAATGCTAGTTTTTTACCATACAATACATTCATGATATCACCACATACATGTACTTTAAATAGTTAACACCACATTCCATAGGGTGCTTCAGAAGTGTTATGTTTATAGGATATTTTAAACTGTTTTACCTTTATAGATAAGCACTTATAGATAAGTTCTTCAATAAAATTACAACTCCAACAGTCAGTCTTGAAAATGTATGCACAATTACACAGTAATTGTGGTACACAATTCTAAAAGCCATGGACCAGATGGCTGCACTTCAGAATTTTACAAAGCCTTTAAAGAGAAAATTTCACCGTTGCTATTAGAAGTATTCAACGAGGCCATTAATAGGAGCTCCTTAACATTTTACCAGGCAAGCATTTCCCTTATTCACAAAAAGAACAAAGACCCTCTGGACCCAGCATCATTTGATCTCATGTTGCTGTGTTCATTCGTACTCATCTGCTCACACAGACTCATGTTCACGCTGCTGTTTCCGGCATATTGTTTTGCACTATTAGTGTTTAGCGTACTTCTTAGTTTAGCATATTTCTTAGTTTATATTTTAGATCCTTATTTACGGTTTCTTTTTACACTTTATATTTTTGCTATTGTTGGATGGAACTGGGAACTGGGACTGTGTTCAAATCCCTGCTAAAAACATATCTGTTCTCTCTGGCGTTTCATACTGTGTGAGTTGATTTAGTATATCTTGTTCCATGTCTTCATTTTAATGCTGTTGTTTTAATTTTTTTAAGGTATATTCTTACTGCTTTTTATTTCTTAGTGTTACCCTTAGTGTTAGGCACTTTGATAACAGTCTATCTGTTTTAAATTGTGCTCTATAAATAAATATGACTTGACTTGACCCTGTTCCATCTCATATACCACATGTGATGCGAATGATAATAAAATCTACTTGAACTTGAACTTAACATAATGTAGACAATAAATTACTAGCAAAAGTCTTAGCTAAACGTCTAGAAACAATCTTACCAACAATTTTTCAGGACCAAACGAGGTTTATCAAAAATAGGACAGTTGTTTTTTAATGTATATTACTCAATATAATCCATTCTCGGGACAAAGATAATCTGTATCCTGAGATTTTACTCTCCTTAGATGTGGAAAAAGTCTTTGACAGGGTTGAACGGGATTTTATCTTTTCGACCATGTCAAAGTTTGGATTTGGCTCAGGATTTATATCTATGGTAAAATAAGTATATGCCCAACCTCAGGCTTCAGTGCAAACTAATAATGTATATTACAGTTATTTCTCTCTTAGTCGGTCAACTAGACAGGGCTGTCCACTCTCGTCATTACTTTTTGTATTAGCCGTTGAACTCTTGCTCTTTTATTATGTGCAACAAAGAACTTTACCAGGATAAAAAGAGGAAAGACCGATCATCTGCTTACAGAGATTTATGTTCTCTTACTACACATATCAAACCCTGTGAAGTCCGTCCCATTGATAACGGAACCTGGATACAAACTGAACTTACCAAAAAGTATGTTATGGCCAATTAATACTAAACCTGCATGTACACCAGCATGTTTAAAAAACGTTGCCTTTTCAATCTCAATTAATTTAAATTTAAGTATTTTAGAATAAATATATTTCAGGAACATAACAGCCTTTTTAAACACAATTTTTAAATCTATATGATTAAACAAAACAGGATATAAATAAGTGGGTGAATCTATCAATCTCATTACCGGGCCGAATAAATATTCTTAGGATGAATATTTTGCCTAAATTTCTGTTCTTATATCAGTGTATTCCAATCTGGATAATGAAGGCATTTTCATTAAACTAGACTCCCTTATGACATTATTTATTTGGAATAGATTTGAAATCAAGAAAATGTTTTTGCAAAGATCACCTTGTCAGGGAGGAATGTTTATCACCCAGTTTCCATCGTTTCTACTGGTCGTGTAATGTTGGCTCAGTGTTGTTCTGGGTGTCCACTCAAGGGACTAATTGAAGAGGGATGGAGAATGAAAGCTATTCTTCCTCTTTTAAAGCCTTACAGTATTCAGCTCTTCCCATCTCAAAACAAAACATTGAGAATCCAGTAGTCTCTCATTATGTTAAAATCTGGTCCCAAATAAGAAATCATTATGGATGGACAGACACATCAGTTTTTAGTCTATTGAGAAATAATCATGCGTTCCCTCCATCAGTTGCAAACATTTCATTTTATCAGTGAGGGATTCAATGTATAAAATATTTATTTACTGAAAATATTTGTTTTTCCACATTTCAGCAATTGCAGACCAAATTCAATTTAGAAAGTAATTTCTTTAAATTCCTACAGATCCAAAGTTGAGTAAAAAGCCTTTTTCCATCCTTCTCCAGTCGACCCTCAGACTCCACAATGGAGAAGGTACTTAGCTTTGATCCGTGCATTATGGGTTTAATAACGAGGAGCTGTAATTTGTTATCACAAGAGGACTCAGGACCTACATTAGACCTTCTGAAAAAGGCCTGGCAGGAAGACCTGGGAGTGATTATTACAGACAACAGTCTAAAGCTCAAGGATATGTTCATTCTACTTCTGTACATATTAGACATGGACTTTTGCAGTTCACAGGTCAACATAGATTTATCTACATAGATTTATCTACATAGATTTATCTAAACTGAAACTGTCGAAAATGTTTCCCTCTGTTGATCCTTCTTGTGATAGATGCACATGGGTCACTAGGACATAGGTTCTTAAATTGTTCTTTAATCACAATATATTGGAACACTATTTTTCAAACTCTTCCCAAATTTTTTTGGAAAAAAACCCCAAACGTCTAAAGCCAGACCCAGTTTTGGCTCCATTTGGTGTGAGGCCGGTGGTTGTACAACTGTCAGACACCCAAGTCAGAGTGATTCGTTTTGTGACCTTGATGGCATGGAGGCTGATCGTGTAATGTTGGAAACAGAAAACGCCCGCCATCCCACCAGGCTTTAATGAAAGGCATAATGGGGCATTTAAAATTGGAGAAAATTAAATTTTTATTAAGGGGGAAACCTGACATTTTTCACTCAACTTGGTAGTTTTTCATAACTCATTTTAGTACAAATATATAATTTGCATTTTAGGGTGTTTTACTCTTTTCCTTACCTCAAACTCTCTGTTGTCCTCGTTATACTGGACCACATCCATAAAGTTACCTGCCAGCGTTTCCAGGAAATAGGCGGAGTCCATCTCTGTCTGGATCTGCAGTTTGGAGCACAAACTGGAATTGGGAGAGGAGTGAGCAAGAGGAAGAGCATGAAACACGAGAAACGAGGGAAAGGAAGGGAATAGGAAGGACAAGAAAAGAGGAAAATAGGTGAGAGGGAAAAAAAGAGGACAGTAAAAACCTTGTTATTTTCCTCCTTTGGTTTGGTTCACAAAAAAGTCAAAACTCAACCTCACCACCTGCAGGTGATTAGATAAATCTCCTAAAAGTGAGGCCATGGTCAAAAATATTTATAGTTTAAACAAAAAGTCCCTCGTCAAGCTGACACTTCCTGTTAATACTTTCTTCTGTATGTTTTTTCCCAAATCAAATTGCTTCTGGATACTTTATGTAATTCATATATCAACACATTTGATCAGGAACAAGAATGGGAGACTGCAAAGAAATGAAGATTCAACACAATCTGCTGTCTTCCTCACATAGACAACGTTAACTGACTTTTTATGCATGTTGATGTTTTTGAACAGCGCCCTGAGACGATTTCTGTTGTGACTTGGTGCTATATAAATGAAATGAATTCAAATTGAATCGAATGCTTTATGCTTTAATGTATGTAAAGTCTGCTTTAATTTTTATACTTTTCAAAATCTTGAACTTAAAAAAAAATCCTTAAATACGTCAAGACCTCTTTACTTCCTCAAAAACCTTGTTCATTTTAAAATCTGGATTCAGCATACAGTATTCACTCTATTTTGTCTTCTTATTTGACCTTTATTTATCCAGGTTAGTCAATTGAGAACAAATTCTCATTTTCAATGACGACCTGGCCAAGAGGCAGCAGATACAGAAGAGGTAGAACAGAGATGGACAACATAAACAACTGGCAGTCAAACATAAGATTGTACAGACCATGGGACTGGTTTAACAATCAAAAAGCTAGGACCGGTTCATGGTGCAAGAAAGTAACAGAACTTGTAGAGGAGAAAGCTAAAAGAATGTGCAATGGTCATCAAGTGATGCTTTCACTAAGCTTTTAAAAGATGAAAACAGAATAAAAGAAGCGAGTTTGACAGTTTGTTGTAAATGGTTCAAATCATTGGTAGCAGAAAATTGAAAGGATGAACAACCAAAGGAAGTGAGTGCTTTAGGGATGCATAAGTTAATGTAGATGCTGGAGTGGACAGTATGAATGTTGCTACAGACTTTGGAGAGCAGAGTGTTGATGTGAATTTCCTGAGGTGTGGAGCCAGTCCAAAGCCCAAGATATTTGTTCTTCCTGACAAATTCTAAAAAGTTAAGTCTGGTCCTCTGGACATTCAAAAAAACAAAACAAACAAAAAATGTAGAAAATGTTTGTCTTTCATCCTAAAGACTTCTTCAGTCTGAGGTGCTGTATTCAGCTCAGTCTTATAAATGCTCACAAGGAGGACCATCAGCCTAACGATGGATCATTAGCACACTGACGGCTGTTTACTATTCACAAGGGGTTGAGTGATACAAGCAACAACATCATTGTAAGAGGGGGAAGAGTTGAACTTGGAGGCCTCCACCCCTGTTTAATGATGGACAATTTATTTTCAAAAAGATGGCCTGCTTTACTCCTCTCTCAAACCATCGTTCCTCTCTGTCCAGGATTTGAACATCTTCATCCCTGAAAGAGTGACCGCTGGCCTGGAGATGAGTGTAGACCGCAGAATCCTGGCCTGATGATGTTGATCTTCTGTGCTGGGCCATCCTTTTGGCCAGTGCCTGTTTAGTTTCCCCGATGTAAGACTGATCACAGCCCTCCTGACACTGAACAGCATACACAACATTACTCTGTTTGTGCCGGGGGACTGGATCTTTGGGATGAACCAGTCTTTGCCGTAATGTATTTTGGGGTTTAAAAGCCACTGGGACGTTATGTTTAGAAAATAAATGTCTCAGTTTCTCTGATACTCCCTCAACATATGGAATGACCACTGGTCTAGGTCTGGGTTCCTCCTTTTCACTTGATGGCTGACTGGAGTCCTGTTTGGATTTCTTCTCTGCTTTCAGGAAGGCCCAGTTAGGATATCCACATTGCTCTAGAGCCTGTTTTCTCTTCCACCTCCTCAGGACAAGACTCAGCTGTTCACCTCCACCTCACAGATAAGGGACACTCTTTTGAAGACCAAAATGTGCACACTTTGGACAGTGAACACAGATGGTTTGAGAGGGGGGGAGAAGGATGCCAGCTGCCAGGAAAAAGATAAAAAGGAAGGTCAAAGAAGAGATATATGGATGCAGTTAGAGAGGACATGAAGGTGGAGAGTGAGGACAGAGCATGCAGAGGATAAAGTGAGATGGAGGAGGATGACTTGCTGTGGCAACCCCTAAAGAGGGAACAGCCAAAAGAAGAAGAACATAGCCTGCAAAACAAAGTTCTGACTGGGGGCAATGCACAAGAAAGGGTGTCAGTGGGTGGTAACAAACGGAAGCTACCCAATTTTGGTCATCCACTCATGTTAGCGAGACATAAGACTAGAGTTATAAACTGCCTTCACAGCAAGAGGAAATGATGTACAGAGTTGAAGGCCTTTGTTAGGTCAACAAAGACAGCAGCACAGTAGTCTTTCTTATCCATCACACACATAATATTGTTCACAAAATTAAGTGTGTTGGTAAAACAACTGTGCCCTGATCTTAAGCCTGACTACAAGGGGTTGAGAATATTGTGTGTTTCCAATAAGTCAATAAGCTGTTTGTTGATTAGTTTTCAAAAAATTTTGAGACACATGGCAGGGTGGAGATGTAGAGTTGCCTTCGGGCCCAAAAAAATCAGATCCGACCCAGCCCCAGCCCGTAGTCATCATTTCTGAACCCCACCCGACCCGACGAATTAACAGTAATTACAGGTCCAAACTCGGAAAAAAAATGTCATTTTTAATTAGTTATTAATGGTTGGGGACGTGCGACTGAATAAAAGGGGCAGAAGATTGGAGCTGAGGGGTTGTTTGTCCTTTCATGGCCGTCAAAGAGCATTTAAACCCTGCTTCTGCCTGCATTCCGATCTATTCAGACAAGGACCCTGTTCTGACACGTCTGCTTTGGGATCTCACCTGTTTGGGTCATTGGCTGCATGCGTCCGCTGAGTACAGCAGCTGAATGAACGTCCATTTGGGTGATGGATCACTTCCTGGGATCGCGTCCTGGGATCGCGTCCTGAGATCGCGTCCTGGGATCGCTTCCTGGCAGTATAGTCCCATCTGAAGCTTAACTGAACTTTTTACCTCTTTCAAGGCTGGTTAGTTTGCAGTGAAATGGCCAAATGCGGCTGGTGATTGTATGGCAGGCCATGTTATCATATAACTGGATCGTGACTGATCCTTACCCAATCAAAAGCCCAACACGACCCGGCCATCCAGCACATCATCATGGCCCGGTCCATCCCAAATTCGGGTCAGGTGAGGCCGAGCTTAGGGCTCGGGTTAGAAATGACAGCTCTATGGAAATGGGTCTGTAGCTGCATTGTTATCTCCTTTGAACATGAGGGTGACTGTAACGGTGGTCCATTTCTGGGGCAACACTGATTTATAGCAATGATGTGAGCACCAGTTTTCAAAAAGAAAGGGTCGAGCCCATCCATTATGCTACTTTTAGATACAGTTTTACTACTTTTAGCTACTGTTCTGCTTTTATCAGAATCAGAATAAGCTATACTATCATTGCACAGTGAAGTACAGTGAAACTGTATGCCATTGTCTGAAATATGGGCGGAGTGTACATGGCTGCAGCTCCTAAAAGCGTGGTCCTTAAGCTCCCAGTATACTCCCGCGTACGTCCATATGCAGAGGTATGCACGTACGTATGCAGAGGTACAAGCGTACCCCCCAGGGCATGTCCATGCAAAGCTCAAATTTTTACGACCACATACGCGTACGCGGTGTCGCACAATAAACTGCCCAGCGACGGACTGTTTTGTATGCGACACAAATTTATTAAATTCCCCTTCTTCATCTCTGATCTGGCCTTTTCTTTTGTTTTTTTGCCAAGATGCACGTGATCTCTTCCTCCTCCGTTGACTTCATGACTGAAATGGTGAGAAATGAAGGAATTTGTCACGAGCAAATTAAACTCAGGTCCAGCATGGCTGCGGGAGGGTCTGGAGATTTCCTGGTGGGCTGGTCTGATGTGTGGGCTGTAGAACCAGCGCTCCCCGTTTTTTTTTTTTTTTAATCTTTTTATTAACAACATATAAACACAGAACACCGCTGCGGCGGAGGCTGCCAGCGCTGGCTTTTTTTCCCCTTTTTTCCGACCTGTCAATCAATCCAGTAGGCGTGTCAGCAAATGACCAATCGGCGACCTCAATTTGTCCCAAAGGTAAACGCCCCTTTTCTGTGAAGCTGCTCTGCAGCTGCTCGGGGTGTACGCTGGAGTATGAAGTCTGAACCCTCTGCGTACAGTACACGCGTACGTACGCGTGAACGGACGTACGCGGCAGTATACTGGAGGCTTTATTCTTTAGATAAGAAAAGGAGAAAGACCATGAAGATAGTGGATATATTAAAAAAAAAAAAAAAAAAAGATCTCTTCACACCTTGTCAGGACATGATTTAAGACATTAAAAAAAACTACCAGCAAGCACATTTATAGACACATTACATATGCATTTGACAACAAGACAGTGAGATTTTAGACTTTTTAGTCATGACTCCCAATCTTTGGAACAAGCTGCCATCTAAAATTAGACTTTTTCACTTCATTCTTTTAAATCTGTTATAAAAACTGATATTTAACTAACTCAGTGCAAGTTCATTTATAGTTTTTCTTTGTGTGCGTGTGTGTTTTTTTTTTTTTACGGTTTTGCCACATTTAACTTTTTACTGGCGTTTAGTTATTGTTCTGCTTTTTTAGCTTTTACTGACATTTCTGCTGCTTCAGGCTTTTACCATACCATACCATTTTATTTACAGAGCACTTAAAACAGCTACAAGGCCAACCAAAGTGCTGTACAGACAGAACAACAGACAACACATGAAGCAATATACAAAATGAAGTAAATCAAAAATATATAAAAAAAATAAATAGACATAAAATCGATGCAGATAATAAATATGACGACAAACCAGTGTGGAGCATACAAGTTCAAAACACAGATCCTCTGGTGTTGAAAGCTACTGAATAGTAGTGAGTTTTTAAATGGGATTTGAAAACCGAGATGGAGGGGGCCAGTCTGACAAGCAGAGGTAACTCGTTCCAAAGTCTTGGTCCTGCTACAGAGAAGGCCCTGTCACCTATGCACTTAAGACGAGTTCCTGGAACTGTGAGGAGCAATTGGTCCGCTGTTCTTCTGCTATTAGTTTTGAATTATTCTGCTGGTTTTAGTTTGTGTTTGGCTCATTTTAGCTAGTGCTCTTGCTTGTTTGAACTATTGCAACTCTGTTTCAGCAGTCATTTAGCACTCACCCTAAAACTTTGCAGATATTGCAATATCTCTAATAAATAATTGTTGTTCCAAAATTTCTGAAGTGCTGGTGATGGTAATTAAATACGTCTCTCCTTAAATCTCATTTTAATGTAATCTTGAAGCCAGGACACACTGAGACATGGAAGACAGAAACCTCCGACCCACCTTTAAGACATTGTGTGTGTTTGTGCCGGCATGAGGACATGTTTGCGTCATCTGCAAACAGCTGAAACGAGAGACATTCCCTGTGGTTGGGGTAATTTTCTTTCATCGCCATGACAGTATTAGTTTGGTAAGCTAACCAAACCTTAAAGCTGCTTTTTAGTTCTGCTTATTCATTGTGCCAGCTGACCTCACAGTCACTATAACAACTCAAAACAATTTTAGAGACAGCCATAATTACTGCAGACATGGTGCAAGCAGAGAATGAAATCATGGCTGCAACTAAAAAGAACAGAAACTAATAAAAAATAAAATAATTGGAGACTGAGAAAAAGATCTGTCAACAAAACAGATGCTCAAGTTCTTTTTAACGCCCACAGCCAAAACGCAAAGGCAGACTATAATATTTTTGCTCATGTTCTGTGGGCATTTGTGTCTGTGCGTTAGCAAACTACCTCCTGATCCAATGGACCAACTTTAATTAAACTTTCAAAAATTATTGATTAGATGTACCGTACATCTAAAACTGATAAATATTTGGAGTCAACCCACTTTAACATTGCCACAGCCAACTGGCCTTTAAAAAAAACCATAAAATGGGAATAACTTTACAGATAATGATCTAACAAACTTAAGTCAGGTCCTCTGCACAGATTATTTTTTGTTGAAACATTGGTTATGTTGGTTTTAATCACACTATTATTTTTAATGGCTTTTGTGTTGCATTCTTAATCTTAACTAGGTCTCTCTTGTAAATGAGTCCTTGTGTCTCAGACTACCTAGTTTCCTCCACTTAGCAGTCCAGAACTACAGGCCCGCTGGGCGACGGCCCAAATGAAAAACCAAATGGCCTCGGGACCTGCCATTGTGTGATCACTTCTCCTTCTTGTTCCTCTCAAACCCAGCCAGTCAAAGCAGATGGTCGCTTGTCCTGAGCCTGGTTCTGCTGGAGGTTTGGAGTTTTTCCCTTTCTACTGTTGCCTTTGTGCTCGCTTAGGATGGGACACTGTGACGAAGTGAAAACTCAAAGCAATCTGCTGACTCCTTAGATAAATATTGTTATTAACAATTTTTTTATATATATGACTGTTTCTGTTCAGTGCCCCAAGATAACTTCTGTTGTGCATAGGCGCTATATAAATAAACTGAATTGAACTGAATTAAACACAGGTTAAATAAAAATAAATGTGCATTTAGCTAATAGAAAGGCCAACAAATGTAATTAAATTAAAAGCCATGAAGCCAGCATGTTGCCTTTCATGCCAAAGTGTTGAACCAAGATCATCTTATAGACAAAAGATGACGTTGTAGCATTTTAGACGCGCTTTGAAAATGACGTAAAATGACGGCACGCCAACATGAAAAAGACTGGTGTCCACCTTAGTCCTTCCTGCAGCTGTAGATTAGACGATGCGACTCATATTTGTCCTTTCTATTACCTTGGTTGGTTTAGATAGCAGAAAACACAGTGATATAGATAAAAAAGGTAAATGCACTGTACTTAAAGTCTTTGGTGATGCTGTCAAAGGTTCTGGGGTCTTTCAGGCGTGCGACGAGTGTATCTGAAGCCTTTTTCACCAGAATGGGACACTCTGCATTTTCTGAGGCCAGTGAACGCCACACAACCTCCAAGTACTCTGAAAATATACAAGCAGGACACTTAAACCAGTAATGCTATAAAAAAAGACCACATCAATACACAAGAGTGCCCTCAGTTAAAAACACAGGGCTGGTTATGACATGGTGCTAACACCCCGAGTAAACAGAGCCATGTGGGAGCCAGGCTCTGTCTGAAGGCTTGAGAGGGAATTTATTAAAAGAGTTTTTAGTCACGTTGTAAGTGAAACGATGAGCCAACGCCACAGCTTAGAAAAGCTCAGAGGAAAAACTGCACACTTCTAAAACATAGAACGTGAACGCTAACATCCTTCTTGCAACAGTGATGATTAACTTCAGTGCTTTGAGAGGGATCAAAACAAACCTCAGAACACCATGTTCATTGTTCTGGGTTATGCCAGGATTTCTCTCGGGTCACAGGGAAAGTAGGTAAAATGAGTCTTTAAGATAGAATGAGGCGGGACAGAGCTGGGTCCATAATCAAAACCACTCTGTCCTTGATCCCAACCTGAAGCCTTGTGGGTAAAAACAACCAAACACAGAATAACACTCATCTGGGATGTGACTAGCACTCTGTGAAAACAATCAGTATGTCTTTATACACTAAAAACACTAAAAGTAACAAATTAAGAGATAGTTAAAGGCCCAGCATTCCTTGAAGGAACGTATATCGCCCACGTGCCACGATTTTACAATGAGATCATCTTATATCCTGATGCATGCTCAATAATCCAGGTAGAAAAATCTAAAAAAGTTAAATCTAGTCCTCTGGACATTCAAAAAAACAAAACAAAGCAAAACAACAAAAAAATGTAGAAACGTTTCGTCTCTCATCCGAGAGACTTCCTTAGTCTGAGGTGCTGTATTCAGCTCAGTCTCTTAAATAGCACCTTCTCAGAGTGGATCAACCAGTTTTGCTGCTGACAACCAAAACCAGCCATCAGTGTGCTAATGATCCATTGTTAGGCTGATGGTCCTTCTT